CAAGAAGAGCATTGTACAATCTAACTAGCATTTGCACGAAGGTGCAGAAGTCATTTGTTTCGTCAAATAGAATCATACAATATTCATTGTAGATATATAATTTCGTTTATTCCCTTTACAAAAATGAGTATTAATCTATCAGGGCTGGGGAGAAATAGTAAACATGAAATAGTAAATAGAATGCAAATATTTTTATTTTCTAATGTGTGTAGTTACATATGGAAATAGTATTGTGAAATAAGTATTTCATTATAGGAAAATAATATTTCATCGAATAGTAATATTTCACAGAATGGTATTTAGAATAATGGTATTGCAACTAATAGTATATATATATACGTATACACGAATTTTGTTTCTATTTTCATCACACACTATACTACTCGTTCTTCTGTTTTCCCTAATTACCAACATAGAACATTCACACAACACACATATGAACCTTGGTTGCTACGCTCGTCGACATTCATAATGTATCAAACCTAACAGAATAGAAAATAGCGAAATAGGTTTAGTTTTGTAAAATTTGTACGTCTCATTTTCAATTCACCATTTTCGATATTTGAATCCGAGTGAAAGTAATAAATTGTATTTCCTCATGATTTAATGAAATAGTATTGTAACTATACAGTAAATATACTACTTTCGATTAAATCATTAAATCATGAAATACTATTTCATTAAATATACTATTAATACTATACAATTCACTATTTTCGATATTTGAATCCGAGTGAAAGTAATAAATAGTATTTCCTCAAACATTTAATGAAATACTATTTCATTTAAGAATTAAATGAAATAGTATCTCCGAATGGTGTTTACTTGTGCAGATATTTCAACGTTTGCTATTTTATATCAAATTACTTCTCAAGTAAACTTCGATGTCCCTCTCGATTGATTCTCGAAAACACCAGGGAGAGAAATATTTAAATTGTCATTCTGATCTGCTCTGATCTCTGCAACATTGTACCTTCCGAAGCGGGAAACTCCGATCTACGTGGTACATAATGGTAAAAGTTCCACAGAGCGAAGGTACAAACAGAAAAGATGTACATATTTAAGAAACCACGTCGTTCGTGTGCCAGGAAGAAACACGTTTCAAAAAAAAAAAAAAAAGAAAACGTAGACACGTACGCACGAAGCGTAATTAATCCCGATGTTTGCCAATTCCTTCTTCTTCGTGTCGGTGAGCCTCTTCCGGTCGCTGATGCACGCCTCTCTTTCAAATCCGTTGGAGCTAATTGAGTCAAGACGGTACCGACTTGCCGACTCGGGCGACGTATTGTGACAGGAATGATAATTTCGTGCAAACAACTCGGCTGTTTCGCGCCCGCGGGAGGCCAGCCTCGATCACGAATACTCACCTCGTCTTTCTCTCCTTCTTTCCACCTTCCCTTTCGCCCCTCGTTCGTTTCTTCGCGCTCCTCGTTACAATTCGCGTGACGGCCATTTCGAAGCGGTGCCCGGCCACGACTCATCAGAAACTCGTTTTAAATATACCAACGATCTCGGCAGGAACGGGACAATCAGCGACGATTTTAAATGGCCCTGCGTCTCCATTTAAATCGCCCGCCGGGACGTGTTGATGTTCCACCGGTCGCATTATCGTCGTTTCTCCGCGGCTTCCTCGGCTAAATTGTTGCAGAGATTTGACACTGAACCGATCGTTTCCGTCAAATTCTTTTCTTCTGCGCCAGCGAATCTTGTATTTTTTTTTTGTTTTGTTTTGTTTTTGTTCGTTACTATTCTAATTTTGTGTTCTATTTATCTTCAAATGCACAGCTTTTTTTTCTTCGAAGTCGTAGATTTGGAATTAATTTGACGACCTCTCTGCAAACGAGTCGTTTAATAATAGAAAAATGTATGCAGGGAATGTTGCATCTACTCTGTGTATATTATAAAATATTTGGCTGTGTAGGAAATTCGTTTGCCCCTTGGTGTTACGTTTTTTGAGGATATTGAATGTATTGTGGAAAATCCAATGGGTACATGATCTATTCACAGTGAATAGAAAAACGTACGGGTAAATGTTGCTTGCAAGTGTGAATAAAAGAAAGATGAACACAGGAAATACTTCAAGTACAGTATGAAATTGAAAATAGAATGTACAATGTTTAAAATATTAAGAGTATACTATTTATTATTACAGGAAATATGCAATTATGATTGATGAATAATTCAAGTTTGAAAAATGTTTCTTACAGCTAATAATTATTTAATTCACATGAAAAAAAGCCATATAATTCGTTTCATCATTGATGGTGTGAACAAACTTATCACACAACCTAATATTTCATATCACTTTTGCACAAAATAGACTGAAGGTTATAGTTTTAATTTTAATTAATTAATCTTAATTTTCACTTAACTCGCGCCAGTTTTTCATTAAATATTTTAGAATAATTAAAACAAGACGAGTGCCATCGCAACTAATAAGGCAAATTTAAATAAAGCAAAACGCAACGTGAAAAATGTGCTTTTGTCTTGTAACACAATGTTTTATCAAAGTTGAACATTTCATAGTCAGGAATTTGAAATTTTGAACAATTGAACAAAAAGTCGACTGTATAATATTAAATTTGACAGTCTTCGAACTTCCAAATTCGACGGCTGATAAATATTATTTAACAGCGCTTTTAATCAACTTTTAAACAATTTCACACACTTTGTGAACTCGATTATTTGATGCGCAACAGTCTAATAGAATTATTCTTATTGATTTTGCAATTGGCATGCTATGTATTCACAGAACACGTATGATCCATAGATACTGTATTTCTGCATCGGATCTCGTTACTAGAATTAAACAGTCAGCCGTTGTTCCTCTTCGATTTTTAAACCGAAGAAGAAAATTATAATCAGCTCTTTTCGAAGACAAAAAAAAAAAAAAAAGATCACTATTTCAATTTGTCGGAGTGAAATACGAAAGTCTAATCTAATTTCGTTTCAAACACAGGCAAAAAGTTCTATCGCGACGTGCGATATTTCAATTCTCATTTATTGTTAAGTCGCGATTGTCTACAATCTCTTCCCTTGGAAACCAAAGGAATCGCGAGTCGAATGAAACACGAGATCGCGTTTTAACACAAATACAAAGGAAAGTTAGTTGTAGTTGAAACCTACCTGCGGTTTGCAGAATCCTTCGCACCGGATGCGTGTCTTTTCTCTCGTCGAGGAAGAAGCCTGGCCGGGTGTACGTCGCGCGGCGATGCATAGATCACCGTCAAAAACCCTCGAACAGATCGAAACGGAAGAAAGAAAGAAAGGAAGGAAGGAAGAAAGAGGAGAAGGGGTGGCCGCTGGGGCCGAAGTCGTCCATCAAAAGGCCCCGAGGGGCCCATTAAAATAATTCAATTAAACGGACAACAAATCAGCCCCGGCTCCTCGAGGAGAGGAGGCAAGGCATCGGTCGTCCGATAACTTTCGCCGAGCGGGCGAGCTCGTTGGTCCCTCGTTGGAAAAAACGATGGGACGCTTGGATTTCAGTGAAAATGTGCTGCGGCCGCGCGACACACACCGATGAGGAAGGAGGCAGGAAATAAAAGATGAAAGAAAAAAGAAAAAAAGGGGAGAGGAGAGAGAACAAACAAACAAACAAACAAGAAGAAGAAGAAGAAGAAGAAGAAGAAGAAGAAGAAAAGAAGAAGTGCGAAACAGCGTTTTTTACGACTTGGCGAAAATTTATTGGTAGGCCGGTAGGGTGGGACATGCCCACAAGTACAATGCGATTCCCCGAAAGCACACGGAGAGGTGTCACGCATACTCGTGTCGTCTTATCTCTCTTCGAGAGAAAAGCAACGGAATCATTTCTTTCTCTCTCTTTCTCACACGCAGACGTTTTCTCACACTCTTTTATACTATCTCTCACATTCTCTCTCTCTCTCTCTCTCTCTCTCTCTCTCTCTCTCTCTCTCTCTCTCTCTCTCTGTTTTTCACATTGTCACCGGGCTGACCGTGCGCCCCGGTTCATTCGTAAAGCTAGCGATACAGGCGTATAGATGTAGATACACATTACAATATATATATATATATATATATGTGTGTGTATAATTATAATAATTATAATATATAATAATATAATAATATATATAATATAAAATATAATAATAACATTATTATCACTTCTATCAAGACGGTAGAAACGTTGGATACAGCTACTACGAGGGGGGGGGGGGGGGGGGGGGGAGACTGAGAGGCCTATTGATCGGCTACCATGCGCACTGACTAACTATTCGTATTGTTTTCAATTTTCTTGCACAACGATCAAGTCCAATAATTCATAGTAATTATACATGTAATATAACAATATTATTAATAATTATAGTTAATTCGCTCGTGACCGTAATACCGGTGTAATTCAGATCAGAAAACGCAGCCACAATTGTGTCATTTCTTTTCAAGCTATGTACAAAGCGCGACTATGTATGTTTCTTTCTCTCTCTTTTTTTTTCCTCTTCCTCTTCTTCTTCTTCTTCTTCTTCTTCTTCGTCAATTTTGTTTCTTCTGTTTCTCAGAGCTCGCGGGAGGACGTCAGACGAATTTCGATACAATTCCCAAGGAATCCATCCGATCGCCGTGCGATCGTGACCGCAGACTTTCGAAGCTGGCGAGCAATTGATCGATCGATCGATCTCGAGCGCCCTCGAGACGTCGCAGCTCGCGAAAGTCGGAGTTGTTTCTCGAGCGACAATTTATTTTTTCTGATTTTTTCATTCACGCCGCGCATTATGAAACTAGTCTCGCGGACTCGCGATCGTGTTAGAAAGTACAAGCTAGAAGCGGAACTGTGTATGCGTATGAATACAGAAACATTCGTTACGATCTTTCATTTGCTGAGCTCGAAACGATCGAAATTCTCATCAACGACAATGTATTTTTGTCTATTTATTTATTTATCCCACGGGTACAGTAATACAAAAGAGAGAGAGAGAGAAATAAAAATATAGCAACACGCGAGTGTTATAATAATAAATTATACAATAATTATATATAAAGTATTATAATAATAATAAAATTGGAATTAAGTATCGATCAAGGAAATGTTAATGATATCTCAATGCCTCACCGGAGTGAAGAAGAAATCATTTCCAAACAAATTTTCATAATTGTTCAATTGATCTTCGTTGTAATGAATTGTGAAAATATACGAATCGTTCGATATCTGCAATTGGAGAACGACGAATGTTTCTGTCGCAATCTTTCGGGAGAAATTGAAATTCCGGACAGGATACAATAACTGTATTTTCACGGAACGCTTCAATGACGGAAAGAAAGTATAGTTGTTTCGACTATTGCGGTGAAGTTGACTGCAGAATTCTCTAGAATTCCAAGATAATTATATGATATCGTATGGTTTCGTATTGCAAAAATTGAAGAACCCAATGCAAGATGAAGTTACGTCGTTCGAAATGTTGAAAAGTTTGATAAATTATAAATAACAATGTTAATCATGAAAATTCCATTGCAACGCTATTTTTCACAAAAGCCTTAATCCATTAAGGAGCAACAGTTAGATGGTTCAAAAACACTCTTATCTCTTTGAAATTTCATAAAGTTGTACGGTTTGAATGAAAAGTGACTGAATAGCGAGGAACAAAATAACAAGCGAATACTTGCAATTGATTTTCACTGATTGAGAGAAAATTGCAAGTAAAATGTTGCAAAGTTGGCCCTCAATGGGTTAATATCTCGCAACATCATTATTTTAGCTTTTTCTTGCCATGGAATACCCTTAAATTGTCCACGTTGAACAGATTGAATTACTACTTCGAAGATTTAAGATTTTTATAACACACTACGAAAAATACTACTTCAGAGAATATCTATAAAATCAGAAAAGTTTAACGCACACTGGAAGAAAATTTGGAACGAAATTTTCACCGAAAGTCAACGTAATTTTCAAAACTCGCATAAAATTCACCAATTTTTTTTCTAAAACTGTAATCGCCGCAGTTTGATAGTTCCGCAATCTTCGTCCCTCCTTCCAACTTAAAAACAAATCGACAGCTGCCAAATCACAATCGAACAAATTATTCCAAATAGTTAACCACAAAATCTCATAGAAAATCGAATCAACCGAGGTTCAAAATTCAGAGGCGAGAGACATTACCGATTCAACTATGGACGATCTCTGATGGATTCGTTCCGACTGGTTCCGGTTCTCTCCGAAGTAGAGAACGCTTTTCCCAACGAGGACCAAAAGCGTAGACAGACGGTCTAAGGTTGTCCAGTCTAGGAATCGCTCGGCGCCGATCGATCATGCTGTTCTGATCGAACGGGTCTCGTGTCCGCGCGAAATCGAGGAGACACGTCCAGAGTTGACGGTTCCATCCACTGGAAACCGATGCCAGCTGACTGGTGTCCGCTTTGTTTCACATTTCCAAGGTCGTCTGGCCGCGTCCCTCCTCTCGCGGAATTTCGGTTCTCGATCATCGATATCTCTCGTCGTTGAATCACGTGGAATCGTGCTCGCGACGCGGCTGATCAGCTTGTTGCGCGATCCTGATGGCCAGGCGAGCGTCGCTCCAGGCCTGGGCGTGGCCTCGCCGATCGCAGCATCCGGTCTTCAGCAGCATCTTCCAAGCGGGTTATTACGTACCAATTTGGGACTCTGGCCCGAGGTTGACACGCATGTTCCTTCGTCCTTTCTTCGCCCCTTCGACTCCATGAAAATCAGTCCTCCGATTCAAATTGGCCGCTTCCGGGCCAGTATAAAGCTCGATCGGCGATGTTGAAATTTTCCCAGTTGCTCCGGACTCCTTTATTGAGTTTTTAATCGGCACTGTCTTTTTTTTTTTTTTTTTTTAATTAGTCTTTAGATTTTCGTCAGCTGTTTGACATCTTGCGCATATCGAGAATTTTTAGTCCCAAAATTGCAACATTTCCTCCGTTTCAAACAAAAACAAAGCTGATAATAAATTCGTTACTTCTCAATAATTTCTGTCCGGTGATAGAGTGCCGACGAGTTCAAAAAGAAAGCGACGGAATTACTGTATGTACGGTTATGGTTAAGGTCACTCGTTATGGTCCGCAATCAGTTGCCAGTGCAAGTTTTTTTTCCCTTTACTTAAGGAATTTCCAATTCAAGTTTGGGAAATTTATCATTTATCAGCTTTCTTTCAACCGTTTCTAATCGAATGTGGTATTTAACCTCACGAATGTACGATCTTCGATTCCATTCTCTTCTTCTTCTCCGATAAAAATTTCTCGTGAAATTAACAAACGATCTGCATTCGCATTCTTCGAAGACTTTTAGAGTATATTCTTTATACTCTTTGTTCGTCAAATTTGCAACTGTATGAATTGTAAATCTATTGTTTTAGATGTTAAATGCAAGTTTTATTTCCAATCAAAAGCGTCGACACGCAACGAAGTTTCGACTCTTTTCTTGCAGAAATTGTTGCAACTCAATTTATTTCCCACCACGTTTTCAAACATCCCTCGATATACGAACGATATTCTTTTTACATTCTTTCTCGTCAGAGTATTATTTCGAATTCAATCTCCAAAGAATTCTTCAGAGCAGCTGCATAAATCATAAATTCAGTGTTTCATTCCTTTTCGACAATTTCCAATCGGTAGGAACGATAGATTGGAAATTGTCACGATGTTTCCATCTCACGGACGAAAGCGCGCGATTGTCCTCTTCGTACGACCTTGGCCCCCGTTGCTCTTATTCCCACAGGCGCGAATTACTCCGCTTTCCGTGATTAAGCTGTTACTCAGCCCGGGAGAAAGCAAGAGCCGCAGCAGAGGTCCGAGTAGATTCTTCGAGATAACGAGGAAACTGGTCGGCCATTCGCTTCGTGTTGCCGCCGATAACGGAGTTACAGTCCCCTGTCCATCTTTCAGGACGATCTTGTCCAAGGTTGCTGGCTACCCTCCTAGTCGCCTCGTGACTCGTTGAACATCGTCGAAGTGGAACAATTTCATTTGTTATCTCGCTAGGAAATTCCCCGGTCGAGGAACGCTTGGAAAAAAAGACGAAAGAAAGAAGAAGAACCCCTCCGTACGCTTGGCTCGCATCTCCTGCCTCTTGGTGTCGCGAGTTTCAACGATCGATCGATTTCCTCCAACTCTGACCCCGATTGTCTGGCACCATTGACGTGATTCTTCCTTGTCTTGTTTGTCTGTCTCTCGATGTCTTTTGTCGCGATCGCTTGCTGTGGCTGACGTCTAGGTGTCTAGGCTCGGAATACAGGAAAGTGGTAGAAGCGAAAAAAAAAAAAAAAAAAAAAAAAAAAAAAAAAAAAAAAAAAAAACCGAAAAAGCAAGGAACGGAGGAGCGAGAAGCGAGGTGTATAAAAAAAAAAAAAAAATAGGCGAGGAGACGATCAGTGACCACGGAACTGATGGTGTTTCCCCTTGCGACTCAGCAGGCTGACGTGCTGTTTCGATTAATCGATCGAGTCGAACTCAAGACGGACATCGAGAAGAACGGATGCGTGATCGGGATCTCGAAGGATTCTCGGAATTTCGACGTGGATCATTTTTTTTTTTTTTTTTTTTGGACATCTCTGTAATTTTTGCGACAAGTCTAAGATCCCGTGACTCTTGTCAATTATTATAAATCAAGGACGAACAAATTTTCTTCGACTTTTATATTCTTTTTAGCGCGAGAGATCTGAACAATTTGACGATTGATAGTGTCAACAATTATCCGTCCCTCCAACGAATTTTTCCAATTTAATTTGTCCTTGGATGACCGAATGATAAAAAAAATTAATATCCAGAGGATGGTTCTTGATTGCATAATGACAGAGGTCTGAGCATTAAAATGAATTTAAAAAAAACGTCGTATGAACCTACGTTTTAAATATCTTGGTTTTCGAGTTAAGCCTCCTATGCGTACATTGAAACATATATTTTGCAAGAATATTTAAAGTATCGACAATTTTTCACTGAGTGTACGAATTTGAAACATTTCTGAAAAATAATAGCTTTTATCTAGCAATGATACCAAGTAAATTCGTTCCTGAATTCAACATATGCCAGTAAATGATTTATCATCACATTATTATCGTCACGTATTATTATTTTTTTTTTTTTTTTAGCATATTTCGTTGTCACGTAGATAATGTAGGTTTCATGAAATTTGCAACAATTTCAATTTCGCGTCACTGATTCTTCTCAATCTTGCGATTTCAATTATTGTCGATAACAGGTGGCATGTCAATTATAAAAAATAAAAAGTCGAAGAGTAGAAAAAAATGGATCCAAGGAAATAAATTCCAAATTGCTCGTGATACCGATTCTGCATCTTGAAATCTAAGAGCATATTTCAATGTGTATGATTGAAGAAAATGTTCAATATAATTCAATATATGAAGCATTAAATTTCGAGTCACGAAAATATCAGTTGAACAAGGAGTGTTGTTCATCTCTATTGAATAAACAACAGACATTAAAGTTGGACTAAAATTGAAACTGTAATGAATCAATGGTTTGTTTGATTCATATTGATAGAAATTATTTATAAATATTGGACAGTATTCGATTGTTCGATTGAAGATAAGTACACTCAAAATTTAAATATTTTAATCGTCTGTAACTCGACATTAAAATTGAAACTCTAATCAATCAATGGTTTGTTTGATTCATATTGATAGATATTATTTATAAATATTGGACAGTATTCGATTGTTCGATTGAAGATAAGTACACTCAAAATTTGAATATTTTAATCGTCTGTAACTCGACATTAAAACTGAAACTTTAATGAATCAGTGGTTTGATTCATATTGGTAGATATTATTTATAAATATTGGACAATATTCGATTATTCAATTGAAGATAAGTACACTCAAAATTTGAATATTTCAATCATCTGTAATTCGAAAATTAAGGTATACAAGTTCATACGACATTTTTCTTTTATTTCAGTATATAGAATTAATTCACCATCTGAATTATCGACGTGAAATTAAGGATCATCCTGTATATCCTATGGAAACTTGAAGTTGAAAGTTTGCAAATTCTTTCATTAACAATAAATAGATCGAATCTTTGTTCAATACACGATTTGCACAAATCCAAAACTAATTGTCCTAATTTGAATTTTCACTTGTTACAATTTATGGTTACGCATCGAGTGCATAATTATGATTTAATAATTAAAAAAACTTGAACGAGTGTTCATCTGGACCTCTGGCGCGTCATTTTGTTATCAAAGATGCCAAAAAAACAAGTATACCATACGTATATTAGAAAAACAAACGTCACAGAGTTTCATCTCTGCATCTGCACTCACGCGTTGAAAATTATACGACGGTGATTCGACAATTGTTCTCATTGTAACGACACGTTTTGTTATACACTGTAATTTCAAACACTTGTGCATCAGTATTCATGAATCTTCGTTTATCATAGTTGTACCATTTTACGTTTGCGCTAAAAAAGGAGCAACGTGCTGTTATTCACTTTTTATGGCTTCAAGTCTCTATAAAACGTTCAGCATGGTACGACAGAGTTCTTCCTCTAGTATGTAGACTACGAATGTTTATGCATTTTCGAGAGATTCAAGAAACTCTACAAAATCCATAAACTTGTGCAAAATAGACTACTTGTCTACAGTGTTTAGCAACGCAACACGAATTTCTAATTCAATTTGTGGATATTTGCAGTCTGTCGGTAATAAGAATATCGAATAATCATTGAATCACCTTCGTGCAACGTTATACGTGAAAGTACTCGGGATCAAAAATTTCCAATGAAGTAAAGACGTTGGGTCGTCACGTGACTTGCGACGTGGCCCTCGTCGAAATTCCGAAAAACGAAGAAAAAAAAGAGGAGAAAAAAAAAAAAAGACAGGGAAAGAAGCTCGTCGAACGATTATCGCGCGGCAATGAAAACTAGCCTAATCAGAAACAGAGAGGTACGCGCGTCTATTTTGGGAGGGTCGGGGAATAAGGGAAGATTTAGGATATATTAGTTGGCCGGATGGCTTCTAGTACCTAGAGTAGCCATTCGAATAGCCATTTGAGTAGCCGTTGGAGCCCTTGTAGGGAACAGAGTGTATGCTCCTGGAACAAAGATGGTCGAAATCGGAAGATGAGGAAAGTACACATCAAGGAAACTTGTCTGCTTCCTCTCTTTCTCTCTCTCTCTCTCTCTCACTCTCTCTCTCTCTCTCTCTCTCCCTTTCTCACTTTCCTCCTCCTGCATAGCAAACCAAAGTTCTCCACCGCTTCGCGATATTATGCGAGGAGGGGTTGGGGGTGGTATCGTGCGGGCTGGCGTTAGTATTAGTAGAAGTTAGAAATGCGATCGTAGCGGCGACAGCGGAAGAGTGTGTGACAGCGATATATTAAAGGTGTGCCAAGCATAATTATTACACGTCCATTATTTTTTTTTTTCTTTCTTTCTTTCTTTCCTTACGCACGAGATGGTGATCGAAAATCAACGCGGGGGAACTAACGCGGGGGAACTTTCAGTGAAAGATGCAGTAAACAAAAANAAAAAAAAAAGAAAGGAAAAAAGTAGAAGAATGGTGAAGTGTAGGAAAGAATGCATGTATTATATAATGTATAGTAAACGTGAAACGATAGAGAAGAGCATGGATTGTAATTTTCTGTTGTTGTAGACTGTTGTTAGAATTCTCTCTTTTTTTTTTTTTTTTTCTGTTGGTCATGTTGATGTTGCTGTTGCGTGTGCATTGTGCGTGCGTGCGTGTGTGTGCGTGTGTGTGCGTGTGTGTCAAGGTGCAGGAGGTTCAGAGCTCCCGCTCACCGCCACCCACATCTACAACAGAACAGAAAACAAGACCACCGCCGTTACATACAAGGTATTCCATTAGTATCCACCAGTATCGAAGATTTATTTTATCGCTCGCTCGTTCGCGAACGTGCGTGCGCGCACGCTCGCTAGGCTCGCGCGTTCCATGCGGAGGTAGCATTATTTCACGCTGATTTATGGGTCGAAGACTGATCTTTCAAAGTGCTAAGAGAGCGTGACCGGCAGACTTTGCGAATCTACGCGATTTTCTGCTTCTTCGCGGCTCACTCTCTCTCTCTCTTTTTCTCTCTCGAAGTGAAATTGTCACGGTGAAGGTGATACATTGACACTGCGCAAGGCTGCTGATACTGCAGAAGTCGTGCAGAAAGGTCGCACGCGTGAAAATGACCCGGTTTCGTCGATCTTACCTTTTATTACTTTGCAACGTTATTCATTATTGACTTTACGATTACGGAGATTCTTGCCGCAAGTTTGTGTGAAAGGGACGATACAGTTGTTAGATTAATCTAGTTTTAGTATCGTTGGGTTATGCGTGACGAAAGTTTTAAAATGATTGAAATTTTGGGCACTTGGTTTTATGTCGCATTTACATATTTATATTTGCATTTTACATGGCGACGGGAATTAGTGATAAAATTTAAAGTTGTGAAATAATTGTCACGATTCTAAATGGCCCAGTAACACTATGTAATTGAAATATAGTTGAAACTCAAATGGGCGAGTTATTAATAAGTTTCCAATTCAGATTTGTTTTCTAAAAAGAAATCGACTCTCTTCGAATATTTTAAAATATATAATATATAATATATATTTTATTATTATATATATATAAAATATAATAATATTAAAATTAATAATAAATTTAATAATTTAAAATTAATAATAAATTAATAAATTAAAAATATATAATAATAAAATATATCCCTTCGAATATTTTAAAATATATAATAATAATAAAATATATAAATTCTCCGTTTCTTCCTTTTTTAATTATTTTTGACGAAAATTTCGAAAATCCTGAATATCTTTTTTTAAATACTTCACATCAGAAAACTTATGTATTGTTTGTGCAATATGAAAATATTCTACTCTTTCTTTCCATTACAATATATAATGTATAGATATATAACGAATAAACAATGTATTATTATAACTTTAATAAGAATTTTAAATCAAAATTTTGTATACTTCTTTTTATATACCTCGTGATTCTATCGTGATCCTTCTCTGGCTATTAATTTAGCGAGTTTGTATCGTGCTGGCTCGGAGAGATTGCTACTAATTGTTAGGTGATTTACGAAGTTGCAAGACCGGTATGCCAAATCATTCTCGATTCTTGATAAGTAAATTTTATTTTTAATGAAGTGACGTCGAATGCCGGGGATATCGACGTTCTTATTAATTCTCGTGGTATTCCCGTGAAAGCATTAACTTCTTCGTTTAAATTATATCATTGTATATCACGCATTTTATGCTAGCCCGGGCATTCAAATTGCTACGTTTAACACCGAACTGGAAGAATAACAGAAGTTTCGTCCTCTGAGAACTGTTTGAAATACCGGCCGTTCCAGTCAAATCAAAGTAGCGCGTAAATCACGCGAAGTTTTGGGAACTAATAAAAAATTCTCAGAGGCTCAGTTTTTGAATTTCAAATTCTTCCCTCGCCCCCACCCTTCTCTCTTTTTCCTTTTCAGCGTCACTAAATTCGTATTGTATACTCGCTGTTTCTCTGTGCTCAGTGAGATTGTGCAAAATATCTTTGTTTATAACTAGACTTTTTACGGAAAATTTGAAAATATATATGCGAAATTGGAAAATTACGTGTTTCGTACGGAAAACAAACTTTTCGCGGTAGATTTCAGATTTTTTTTATTCTACTCGTGAATGAAACATGGATGAAAAAATATGAATGAAAAACATAAGTTTGCAAGTTACAAGTTATGCTGCGGATTTTCATGCAAATCCATATTTTTGTGAATATATCTAGATAATAACAAAAAATTGTTTCGTGTATCAAATATTACAGAAATCACTGTATTTTATATATTTTTCCTTTTTTTTTTTTTTTTTGTGTGTGTAATTTCACAATATTTTAAAATTTCCTATGAATGCATAAAAATTCATAGTCTGTTTGCACGACGAGTGTCAAATTTGTGTATGATTTTAACGATCTTTGTTAAAAAACGAAGCGCAATTTTACAAAAAATTTTTAAACGCAATTATTTCTTTTTAAATTTATCACTTTTTGTGTCAGTGATGGAAAATTGTGGGGGAAGCCTGTGAAAAAATTACGGTTATTAGACGTATTTTAATTGTCGTTGACGTTTCATAGTCAGTTCACTTTGGTTGCCGATTGTCGACGACCGACGGATCACGAAGTTGCGTCTGTCGACTCGAGTGACGAAACTTTCCCTTTTCAATCCCGGTGTTTCGTCTTTTAAAGCTGTCTGTTCTTCTGAATTTTTATCAAAACGATAAAAGTTTTTGTACCAAAAAATTTACAGAGAACGTACAATTAGTTGACAAAAAAGACTCCAAATTAAAAATCGAACGTGTCAGCCTGATTGTCAATCAAGTCTCGACTCTCGAAATACATCGCAGTTCCAATTACTCTGCACACTTGATTTTTCGTTTCACCTTCACTAATTTCTTTTTTTTTTTTCTTTCTTTAAATTTCACACAATCTTAATTTCATTCTTCTGTCACTCCAATACGACAAAATCATCTATCCCCAATATTTTAAAAATTCGCATTGAACAACACCGCGAATTCACGAGCAAAATTTCACGAAGCAAACCTTCTCGCATGGAAAGCGGAGCAAACGTCTTCAAACATCAATTTCTTAATTTTCGTCGTATTTTAAACATGCGTTTTCATGTTGAACGTGTCCGTGCTCGGTGATTGCTTTCTAAGCCTAAAGTTGAAAGTATGACGGTTTGATCGATAAAGAATCGAAATATCTTTGTGTTAGATGACATGATTTTTGTCTCGCAAAAAAAGATCGTACCAGTGACCTGACCGGTTCTCGAGATGGCTTCTATGTTCTTTCTTTTTTTTTTTTTTTTCAATGTAGACGATACACGCGTCTAATTTCGTTTTAAATCAATCGATGCTCTTCATCGATACACTTTTCTTGTATTTTATGAACTAAACGATGCCACGTTAAAATGGAACGGGGCTACTATTGAAATTTCGTTTGAAACTATCGTGGAAATGTGTTTGATGATACTGTTTTCGTTTTTATTACCGGATTTGATTTATGTTTTATGGTAGAATTTTACCATAAATATTTTACTATATTATAAAATAAATTTACCAATTTTACCATATTATAAATTTTACCATAATATTTGTTGTAATTATATATTTATATTTGTAGTATAATATAGTAGAAATTTTATTTGCTTGAACGAAATTTCAGTCGAATGAATTCTTGCTGGTAGAGTCCACTTATCGCTAGCAAAGGGGGAATATCAGTGAAAGTTCAAATAAATATTTATCACAGAACAAATTTGTATAAATAGAATTTTGCAACAAGTTAAACCAAATTTCAGTGAGTGCTCGATTAGCTGCACAAATGCACAATTTCTTTTTAGGCTATGGATTCAGAATATGATAATGTTAAATAGATTGGAGTATATAATAAAAGTTTAGGCTTAAATTCTTAACGAGATTTTCTTTACTAGTTGAGAAAAAAGCCAAACATCTATGAACTGCGGTTAATAAACTATTTATTCCGCGACAAATTTAATATAAATGGAATTCTACCGTAACTGAGTTGCAATAGTAATATTATACTATGTTCATTGGAACTAAAGTCAGTGCCTGATTAAATTTAATTGGAATTATATAACAGAAACTTTCGTTGATAGAATCCACTGATTTGAACTGAAATCCCTATTATATGAAAATCACTAGCAAAGGAGAAAAATAGTGAACTTCAATTGTGTCAAAACTATATTTGTCTCGTAACAAGTTCTAAATGGAGCTTTACTGTAATTAGAAAAGTCGTTTCATTATTCATATCGCTTGTAAACTTTCGTTCATACAGATTTCTAATAGGAGCACACAAATCGAGCACTAGCTAATTTTCATTCAAATAAACATAATTCTATTACCTTGAAATGAATGTTCGAAAAGTGTTTGATAATTAAATTAAATTTAATTGAACTAGTTACTTGGGGAATAAAATTGTCTGACTTTTTTCAAGAAGATTCAGATGGCTTCGTCGAAGTGTCACTGAATTTTAACTGTTTCTTCGGCACTAAAGTTATTATTTAAATTGTAGTAACTTAAATTTAGTGTTTCGTAATTAGTGGAAATATATTTTCAGCATCGGAATAAATAGACTATTATTAAACGAATAATTTAGAGGAATTGAAAGAAATTTCCGAAATTCCCCAACGTTTAATTGTTCCTCTACAACATCAAAGTTGGAATTTATTTTATAAAAACGCAGTATCTTAGTTACTGAGAATGCGAATTTTCTTTCTACACGTCCTTCTCTCTTCAATTTTCAAACATGTCAAAGTTAATAATCTACTCTTAAAAACCGTGGGAACAATGAACGATTCAAAAGAAGAGAAAAAGAAAGAAAAATTGAGACAAATCCGCGGAACTGAATTCTCGTCAATTCAAACGATTACTCAAACATAATTACAAACATTAAGATACGAAAAACCGGCGAATTTTCCTTTCGAACGACACACTCGAGTTTCGCGACACGTCGGAGCGAAGAATCTGTCATTGAAAGTCGTCAGAACGATGAATTTAAGAAAAAAACAATCGAAGAGAAAAAAATCTATGAAACAGATTTCTGTCACGTTTCCACAAAAAAAAAAAAAAGGGAAGAAAGTCGTTCACGTTTGATCATTCACGTTCGAGCACAGAATCGGACGTTTCCCTTGCGGTGAACACCGGCCGTATCGTCGGCTTGTCACTGTTCGAACTTCAGCGTTAACGCACATCACGGTTGAAGAGGACTCGCGACGGAGCACAAAAACCCGGAGCACAGACACGTCTCTCAGCTACTGTCGATCTTCGAGCGAGTGACAGCGAGTGATTTTCCCCCGGGACCGGTTCCGCGGAAAACTGTTCTCGCGTGGATCTGTCCCCGAACACCAGGATCACACGTTCAAGTTCACCTCACCGGCACTGAGCGCGACCTTTTTCAGCTTGCGACTGTCGCACGGCTGCCGCAACGCGAAACGATCGAAAGAGAACGAAAGAAAAACGCGAGTAGATGAAGAGAGGGGGGGTGGAGGGGGCGAGGGGGCGAGGGGAAAGAAAGTGAGCCAAGTGTGACGAAGGAATAATTGCAAACTGTTGAACTCGGTGGAAGAGGTTCGCGAGAAGGGAGAAAAGCGATCCTGGGTCTGACAGATCTTGCGATCCGCGCGGAAATCAACCTCGGAACCAGTCCCGTCGTTCAGCGGCGAATTGGAACAAGAGGCTCGACAAAAAAAAAAAAAAAAATGCCTGTATATATATATATATATGTATGTATATATATATGTATACACGTCCATCAGTATGTGATACAAGTACTGCAGAGGGGGGGAATTTTTCCACTAAAAAAATCAATTTTGATCGTCGAAAACGAAAAGGAAAATTTAGTTACGATGTCGTAACGATTCTAACGACGAGGGCGTAACGTGTTTGCATAAACGCGAGTCGTTTTTATCGGAAAAAAAAAAAAAGAAAAAAAAGAAGAAAAAGAAGAAGGAAATGACTCACTCGGATCGATTGGTTTCTCGCACACGGACGTGCATACACAGATATACATATATACATATATGTATGTATATATATATATATATATATATATATATATATATATATATATATATATATATATATATATATATACACATATATATATATATATACATACGTATAGGCGTTTGTTGAAAGCGAACGTGCAAACGTGCGAGCGAGAATGCGTGGACGGAAGCGTGCGTGTGGAACGAATAGGATTAAACGATAATCGTGTAAACGCATTATTAAGTACCTATCACTGCCAGTTCGCGCCGATCCGAGCCGAGATAGAGGAGGACGAAGGAGAATTCTTTCCTTTTGTCGACGGGCACGCGCACTTTTTACACGCGGGCCGTTTGCAGGCTCGCGCCGCGCAAAACGAACGAGGTTCCCTTGCGTCGTCGGATCGCCGTGATCTGGCTCGAAGAACGACGTTTACGGCCAACGGTTTTTCGTGCCAAAAGACGATATCTCTCCCGATAACGATAACGTCCGGTGCTACGCTGTCACGGAGGAGAAGAAGCTCACTGACTGACGACCGACGACGATAAAAAACAAAAACTGGGAAATAATGTTACATCGTTGCACGACGAGAGAGAAGGCAACGATATTTCGGTGAAGATGTTTCGATCGTTTGACCATCATTTTCTTTTTTTATTTTTCATTTTCTATTTTTTGTTTTTTTTTTTTTTTTTTTTTNATATATATATATATATATATATATATATATATATATATATATATATATATATATATATATATATATACACACACACATATATATATATATACACGCATAGAGACATTGGAAAGAATATTCCGGACAAAATGTACCTGTGCTGCTTGAGGTTGTCCTGCCGCTTGAAGGACTTTCCGCAGACCTCACAGGTGAAGGTCACGTCGTCCTTATGGCTGCGCTCGTGGATCATGAGGTTGTAGGGCTTCGTGAAGCGCCGCTGGCAGTACTTGCAGACGAACTCTACCGTGCACTTGGCGCGCATCTTCTGCCGGCGGCCGAACTCCCTGCCGTGCCCCTCTGTCTCCATCGGCATTATCGCGAACATCCTTATAAATTCCCACCGCTCCTTCTCTTGGTCGACTCTCTGTCTCCTTTCCCTCTACCTCCTCTCTCGCGGTCCTGCTAACGCCTCGAGTCACTCCCTCCACACGGGTTACAGGCCTATAACCGCGTCTCTGTCCCTCTTGTCTCGACAAGGGGCACCGTTTTCTCTTTTTTCCCTGCGAGCTTCCTCTCTCCTTTTGGGTCCCTCTCTCACGATGCTCTCTCTCTCTCTCTCTCTTTCTCTTTCTCTTCGTGTCGCTCTTCTCCTCCTGCGCAAATCTAGTCCCGACCGGCTGACTCCTGCGAAGTGAGATCACTTCGCCTGTACCTTCTTCTTGCGGGAACGCACTTTCTCTCTCTCTCTCTCTCTCTTTTCGTTTTCTTTTTCTCTCTTTCTCTTCTTCTCTTCTAGTTGTCTACCTGCGGGAAATAAAGGAGCAATGATTTTCGGATCGATTCCCGCGGATCGACGCGATCGCCAACGATCAGAGGCGCTCGTGTTTTCGATTCAGACGAGGCAACGTTTCTGATTTTCCATTGGATTCGCGAAATTATGTCAAAGGAGTGAGTATCCAGACGTGTGTCAGAGATCGTTTCCTTCTTTGAACATCGTCAGAACACGCTCCCCTGTAGAATCGGCACGTGTTAGAAATTTTTTTCGACTAGTCGACCACTTGCGCTGGCGACCGATTGCGGACCATAACGAGTGACCAAACCGTTATTACAACAGTTCGTCGCTTTCTTTTTGAACCTCGCCGAATAGAAATTATTGGGAAGTAAACTGATCGTTTGCTTTGCCTGGGTTATACTTAAATATACTTAAAACTATGAAAATGTTGCAATTTTGGGGCAGAAAGTTCGTTAAAAATCGCGGAATTATGCTTCTCCATGCATCTGACGCTTGTCAGGAAATGATGCGACGCTCTGCGATTTGCAAACGAGTTTACGAGTAACCTTGTCATTGAAAGTACAGAAACACTGAATCACACGTCGTCGAATCACGTAACGTCATCGATCTCCCAGAGATATTAGTAACCAAACTGTTGATTTTTATGGATTTCTTAAAGAAACTTAACAATCCGCGCAATAGAAAATTTCGCACTTTCCCGTGTTTCTGTTTATAGAGAGATTCAAAGAATTCACGAAATGCAGATTGATATATTTCGTTGTAATTTTCAACTTTGGATTTGCAGAACAGTAGTTGGTGATATTATTTAAAAATATTCGTATGTCAAATGTAAATTAACTCACGTGACATATATGTTCGTATTTTTATCCAAGATTTGATATTTAAGATGAGGCGAAGTAATATGGTTTCATATTGCCGACGTTCTGACTTCAAATTTTTAATGTGCTATTGCTGATGTTGCATCACTTCGCGTAAAGACACGCTAAATTATATCGGTGGTGTCACATGATTCGAGTGTGATGGATTTTGGTGTGATAATGGCGACCGGTACACCATGAGATTTCTCAGTAGTAACGCTGTATAATTTGATGGACGCGCGAGAATTTCCGACGAAGAATATCTGACGAGAGAACACAGTAAAAAGTTTCGACAGAGGAAAAAAAAATTTGAAGCTATTGATTCACTCAGACGCGTAGTTTTTCTTGGAAGTTACGTCATACAAGTAGTAATGGTAAATGATTCTTTGTACAGTTTCCAAGGCAAGAGATGGAGTATCCAAGATACCTATGAATATAAAATCAAAGGAGCATTTTTGTTTTTTTATACAAGATTTATATACAAGATTTAATCACGTCGATCCATGAAAATGACAATTAATTAATTATGGCAGGTTCTAATACTAACATTTCTTGCGCAAAGCACAATATAGCACAGACAAATAGAAAATTTCTCTTTTTGGAAAAGAATCCTAGTGAATCTGAATTCGCTGCACAATTCGGAAGAACCTGAACTGAGATTTTCGAGCAAATAATTATCTTCAATGTTCCTTGAAATACTAAAACTTGAAAAACATCTAAATTTTTCTGAAAGTTTATCATCCACATCGACGCCCCTAGAAATCTACTATTTGAAGAAACTTAAAACCTATTATTTTTTTAAAATACCTATCATTGCGTATCTTTATCAGGTTCTTTCTTCTCGATATCGTTACTAATCTAGTCTGTTATAAAAAATCATGACTATTGATAAATTTATTACTAAAACCGACAGGATCATCACTCTTGTAAATCTCCATCAACTTCTTGATGTTTATCATTTCATAGATTACAAAGGACTGAAACTATCTATCTGAAATGTCTTGTTACAAAAATCGTAATTTTCAGTTTGAATTTATTAGAAAACAACAACGTGATCACTGCTGTTGCAGGAACTTCATCAATTTCTTGCTCCTCAACATCTACCAGCTGACAAAGACGAGGGATGAAAGATGTGTAAATGAAAAATAAAGGAGCAACCATCCGTCTATCTAAAATATTTAAAATCTAATATTCCCTCTTTTCAAAATACCTAAAATCCAACCTACTATGAAAACCGCACCATTGCAAATCAAGTTCTTGCTCTTTGACTTGTTCGTCATTTCGTCGGTTGCAAAAGGATGAAGCTAGAAAGAAGCTGTCCATCTAAAATCCAACTAGTTACAAAAGCCACAATTTTCAACACTTCATTACGAAAAACAGGAAACGTCGAGCTTACTGCTCCTCGTCATCTTGAATCCAGTTGACTAATCACAATACTGATACAAGACCTGTACAAATGAAAAGATGATGGAGCAATCATTCACCCTAAAATCTAACTAATAGTCCCTTCTATCCAAAATACCTGAAATCCAAACCGCTACGAAAAACCAAACAACCCTCGACAAACAAAATCAATTATCGCCAAAAACAATTATCGCTGTTCACAGATCTCCCATCGAGTTCTTGCTCCTCTCTGGACATGTACCATCGACCATCGAGGCAGTCAGTTTCGGACGAGGGAAAGAAAGGGGTGCGTACGAGCGAAAAGAAAAAAAGGGAACGATAAAGAAGAGCGGACGTAACGCCGGAGGAAGCTTGTTGCTCGGCGCGAGTCGTCGGAAAGAGGGGTCCCGCGGAGTGGAGAGGCAGCAATAAAAAAGGCCCCCGGGGTCTGATCGCGCGGTCCGCCACGGCCATTGTGCAGGAGCCACGTCCGGTGCTACTGGTAGCGCAAGGTAAGCACACGGCGCACGCTCGAATAAAGTGGCGTGTCTGAATGAGTAATAAGCGTGGCTGGGCGTATCCCGGTTGGTTAGGCTGCCTAACGGCGGTGGGGCCTAATCGGAGCCGCCGCGTGTTACGCACGAACGTCTGTCTGCTCTGCCACGCTTTTTGCTTTCCTCTCTTCATCGTCTCGTTCCGGCTGAACACACGCCAGCTCGGAGGCCAGAACTTGCAACACTCTGACTTTCAACCACCGTTTTCTTACCGATTCGTGTACGGTCACTCCGGGTCAGGGCCGCGTCAGAGCGTCGAAACGTCGCGAAAAACGTTCTCAACGTGCGTTGAGTTTCCTTCGATGCGAATGTTCATGCTCAACGACGCGAGTAACGATAAAATTTAGAATCGCGGAGAGACGGAGTCATTTGTGAAGCTACGAGTTTAATTGCGGACCGTAACGAGTGACCGAACCAGTATATACAATAATCCGTCGCTTTCTTTTCCTTTTGAACTCGTCGGTATGATGCCACCGGATAGAAATTATCAAGAGGTAATAGACTTATCATTTGCTTTGCCTGGGTCTACATTTAATTGTACTTGAAACTGAAAAAGTGTTGCGAAATTCTCGACTTGCTTCAAATATCTTCACGGGTTTCAACGTGTCTGATGCGAACGCTTCTAGAAGAGAGCAAATGCATCAGAGTATAGATTATAGCGTCTAACATCATCGAACGCAATGCACAAACAATGTAACACATGAGCAAACTTGGATCATCGTAGAAACGCCTCAAAGACGAGTACGAGTCCGAAGAAATTCGGACGTATAAAAGTTCTATGTTCACGAAAACATATCGTAGTGATCAAAACTAGCAATTGCACATTTTGATGTTCAAATCCTTTGGAATTTTTCACGTGATTTAAATACCTACTGTGTGAACTCGTGTCAGTGGTACTTAAAATTGTAGGTTTAATTTAAAAAACGTTCATAATCCCTATTGTTAATAATTTTGTTAATTGACGCGACATTTAATTCACAAAAACAAACGACAAATAGGAACGTGTTGTTTTCAGTATCTCCTTTGTTGTGGATGTTTGGAATTGTTTCAGGATTAGTTGAATGAAGATTGGTCCACAATTTCTAGTTATTTTCAATGTTTAGTAGCTCGAGAGTTCAGTTTTTTAATGTATTTTCCATATTAATGTATTTTAAGCATTTATGATTTTTTTATTTATTTAAACATTGTTGCGATTGCTGACGTAAAAATACATCGTTTCGAATTCCGTTTCTGGTCATCGCCATTTATTATTTATCGTCATTACGCGTTACTTTCTCGATCGTGCGCACTGTTTCTTTCAGAATGAGTTATCAGACAAGTCACTCGCAAGCACGATATCTCGAATCAGATTTTATAATTTTCATCCTTGTCTCGTTGCAATCTGATTGCAGCAATCGGCTACAGGATTTTTATATTTCGGCCGATAAAAACGTGAGAAACGAGCAAGTGAAGCGTACAATGCAATCGCGATGGTATCAAACGTGCTCATAGACATTCGGATATAATTGAATCATTTTTCACGATGTGTTCGTGCAGTTTCTTGCAAAAGGGTAAATATGTGCCCATATCGATATCTTTCTCAGTTTATGGGATTCACCCAGGCCAACTTTCTCTTCTGATTTTCAAATATAAATACGCATCACGCGTGATTTTAGCACTTTCTTTGCCAGCTGATGCAAAAGATACAGCTCTCGCGTGATGTGTCCACCTACGTGCATCGCGAAACAGGACATAGATCAACGCACCACAGGAGCGTTGTTCCTTTTGCGTTAGCTACGGCAAAGATAATAACAATAGACGACTCGTGTGATTTGTTATATTCACGCATGTACTGTAGTTGGAGAAAGTTTCTGTATGAAACTCTTATTAACACTTCGTGAAAAAGAAAACGTAAAAAATTGATTGAAGTTTATTATCAATTATCAATTAATTAATGATTAAATTTTCAAAATTTTTCTTCAATTTTCAAAATATCCTTTCAGAATTGAAAGAAACCAGTGGTGTGAAAATTGGAGCTCAAAGTAAGTAAGAAAGATTGATTGTTTTACGATTTTTTAAAAAGTTACATAACATTCTAAAGTGCTTTTTGTTTATTTAATATTCTTACATTCGATGGAAAATTCGTATTCGAATATTTTATAAAATATACGAGAATATTAACTTCTTGCGCTGAAATGACGTGCCCCGCACGTCGAGAACTTTTTTTGTCCCAAAATT